CCAAAACCAGACCAAACCAAACTGAAAAGCCTCCATGCCCAACCCGGGCCCCAGAAGTTGTCCAGTAGTGGGCAGTCCCTATCTCGGACGGGCGTGTGAAGAGTCATCGTTCCTCCACTCCATCCGCTCCCGTCCTGGTTCCGATCATCGTCTGCCTTCCCCTTCTACTTTTACTTACTCCGGGCCCTCCTCCTCCCTCTCTCTTCCTCTGCCAGCAGGGCTGACTGACTGTGACTGTGACTAGACTGGACTTGACTCTTACTTTGCCATCTCTTCTCTCTCTCGCCCTTCACTCACTAATATTCCTCCCCTCCCCTCCTCTCTTCCTCCCCTTCCCACACGCTTGTCATCTTCTTTCTTTCTTTCACTAGAAAGGAAGTGTGACTGAGAGTGTAGAGTCATACTAGTTTTCCTTGTTTAATCTTGCTTCACTTTGTATCTTGGTTCCTGTTCAAGTTGTTTGGCTCGTCTGCTCTTCCCGTTGCCTCTCCGCTCACCCTTTTTCGCCCGCTTTGTGAAAGACTGTGAAGCGTGGTCCCTGCATCCGCCCAAGAGTCTCAAGACCACTTCCGCCACTCTCGCCACTGGCTGCTGCGTAAGTTAATTTCGTTCCTTTTTCTCTCTCGCTGTTTGACTCTGTGCTGCGTCGTTCCACTCGCCTCCGGCTAGCTTCAGGTTGCCATCTCTGCCTGTGATTTAGTCTGGCCGCCACCACCAGTTAGTCACTGTCTATTGCTCCGCCCCCCATATAGTCATCGGACTCTTGGACCCTCACCGTGAGATCCGGCGTAAGAGTCATAGACGAGCGCTAAAGTGGAGAGATACTCATAAGATCGTTGCTGACTCGTTCCTTCTTCGCCTTCCAGTCTTCTTTGAGCCTCACCAACCTATTCTGTCTTCTGCCTCCGATACGACTGCTGACTGCCTGGACAAGCGCCGGTTATCTCGCCTGCTTGTTGACAGTCCGCCGCTCTATCGGCTCGTGATATAACCTCCTGCGCCTGCGCATCTCAAAATGTACCCTGTTGTTATCAAGTCTTCTGTTCCGATCACCCGTGTTGCAGACTCCTCAGATCTCCGAACCTCCGGCAAGACCGCTGCGTTTGTTTAAATAGCTTCCAGCATCTGTCATTCTAGAGGGTCACGTTGACAATATATTACGTGTCTTCTCTGGTTACGCGATATTCGGCTTGATCTATTCGGGACTCTCCAACTGGTGATCGGAACATTAGACGGTAAACCCCTTCTTCTTTTCCCGATTCCTTGACACGTACCACTACTTCACCGGCTTCCTCCTCATACCCACACCTACCGCCCGACTTCAACCCAACAGCATCATTTTATATCACGTCCGTGCTAGATGATTGTTGTTCTCTCGCTTGCCTAAACTGTCCTACTATACTATATCTTCGACAACCTGGCGAATTTTCTCTCTTAAGGGTCTGCCGTCGCCTGCGATCAAAAAGACGGTTCCTTGTCTTATCGGCTACACGTTCACGGTTCACGCACAACGGTTTATTTGAAAAAACACACACGGTTTAAATCTACAGTCTCGTGTCATATCCGACGCATAGAAGGAAGGCTAGCTCAAGTTTGTTAGCCCTCTGGATGACCATTTGAGGTACTTTCGGACCTTTTCTTTTTATTTTGTCAAAAAGTATCAAGGTCGCTCGACTGGACATCATCCCGGATATGTCAGGGATTGACATTTTGGGTTTGAAGGATCCAAACCCGAACAGCCAAATCCGAACGGCTTATGCGCACCCGTATGCATCCTCGGTCTCTTCCTCCGCCTCTTTCTCGTCCTCTTCGGTCTTCTCGCTAGATGGCCTGTCCACCCAGAGTTCGATCTCTTCAACCGCGACGAACCCGGTTGATGTTATCTGGGAGAATGAAGGCGAATACCAGGCTGGAGGAAGAGCACTTGCTGCTGCAAACGGTGCGCGCGGTTACCTAAGGGGCGTGGTCCCGAAGGCAACTGATCCTGCTATTCCGCCCGAGTTACGTAAGCATCCGCGGCGGACCAACAGTTCATGCACGCGGCCTCCGCCGTGTCTTTTGAGACAATCAGAACGGAAGGTCAACTTTGTCGATAACCTTGTCGGTAAGTCTGGGGAGCTGTCCGTTTTATTATGATGTGGTTGAGGTTCAGAACTAAGTACACCGTGTGAAGACACCGCGTCGCAGATTGTTGAGGTCATTTGGCCCTTGTCGGCTGTCTCGCTGCGGAGTGATTCGGCGACTGGATGCAAAGGCGTCTTGCCTCTGCGGACATTCATCCAGGAGACACTCCGCCGCTCCCGCACCAGCTATAGTACCCTCCAGGTGGCGCTTTACTATCTCATCAAGATCAAGCCCCACGTGCCGAGCCATGAGGCGACTCAGGACCAGGCCCGGGGCAAGCCCGTCTGCCGGGCTATGCAGTGTGGGCGGCGTATGTTTCTTGCAGCGCTAATCCTTGCATCCAAGTATCTCCAAGATCGCAACTATTCCGCTCGCGCTTGGAGTAAGATCTCCGGTTTGAACACGGCCGAGATCAACCAGAACGAATTGATGTTTCTGGAAGCGGTTAACTGGCGCCTCCATATCCCCGAGTCTCTTTTTCAGCGCTGGACTGACATTGTACTGAAGTACACCCCTGGTGCTGGTAACATGGCTTTTGGGGACGGGCAATGTTGGCGTACGATCATCCCGAAGCTCACGCCTGACCTGGAGGAATTTGACGTCAGCCCCGCGACACCTACCATGCAGTCTTTTGGCTCCCGCTCGGTGTCGGACTCGCCATCCCCTCGGGGTACATCGTTCAAGAGGGATCTTCCCGGCCAAGCAACGAACGAGCCCGTCAGCCTGCCCTCCATCCATGAGCAAATCGCTGCATGCGGGCGTCAAGCGCTGGAGTCGGTGACTCGTAAAGAGACCACACTTCCCTCCCTCCCGTCATTGCCGCCCATGCCGCGGCCGGCTATGCTGCCGACACCGCAGATGACGCCTCAAGCGAGCATCGCCTCCACTCCTGCAGTGAGTGCTGGCGGTATGCCTGCGCACCGCCGTTACATGCAAACTGCTATGTCCCAGGCGCAAAACATGTGCACGGCGCGGTCGATCTACGACCAGCGCCCGTCACTACAGTTTTGCCCTCGGGCTAACACGTTTGATGGGTACCCTAACTTGGTGCGCCGGTCCTCTCTGGCCCGCTCGGCTTCCTCTGCGTCTTCTCCGGATTCGATGATCTCGGATGTGTCAAGCATGTCGTCGCAGTCATCGCGATCGTCATCTATGTCTTCCAGCTCTTCAACTGGTGTGTCTGCTATGCCTCGCCTGGCCGTTCAGGCTACGCTCCGATGCACTGGCAACTCCCTCAAGGAGTGCCGCAAGAATCTGGCCATCGCATCGCCCATTGATGAGGGTGCACTTGGAGATATCTACAGCTCGCCCGAGACTTATGGCGGTCCTCTTGGCCAGGTTCCGGATATGTCCGGCTACTCGCTGGAGCCCCCGGTGGACCTGTCTTCTGCTCACGAGGCAGCACAGAGTCTTTGTGCTCTTTCTGGCGCTGTTCCTCGCGCTCAGCAAACGATCGAGCAACAGAACGCTGGTCAGCGTGTGTGTCGCAAACGCGGCCGCACCGGGTCCGAGGACATGCTGCACGGTCAAATCCGTCATCTCGTCAAGTCCAAAACCTTTGCTGAAGGCACTGTACTACCTGATGGGAACATGGCGGATCTGTTCCTGAACCCCGAGGCCCGCCGCACGCAAACTCTCACCGCTTCTCAGCTGAGTGCATTGAACTACAACGTTCCGCTCTCGGGCCCCGTTGGCATGAAGCGTGCCTGCTGCGGGAGCGAGGCCAGGAAGATTGCGCTCAACCCAAGCATGCGGGCTGATTACTAGGTCTCCCAGATATCTGGACTCATTCATTTATCATTTCCTTTCCTTTGCGGAAAAGTGTTTACATTCATACCAATAATTCTATTCTGACCAATCTGGTCTGGTTGCAACAGCAGCAGAAGAGACGCAGACCGGTAGGGAAAAGTTTTGTGCGAACTTTCTCAGGTGATTCACGCGTTCGGGGAAAGCAAAAGTCGTCTTTGTATATACCCTGCAGCTGTTGTCGATTCGGGGAGGCTACTTGTACAGTAGTACTGCTATGGCAGACTGCTGGTGTATGATGTACGTTGGGGAGGTTTGTTGCTATCTTTACTATTTTTCTGTGCACATTTGCCATATCTATCGTTATTTATTTCTGTCTGTCATTGCGGCACTGGAGTGTGGTGGGAACGGTCGGGTCTACTTCTTTCACTGGTTTTCGCCTGCATTATTCTGACATCTGACTACATGGGTTGCGAAGGGCGAGGGAACGCATTATACTATTACTGCGGAGTTACTGGCAAACGAAGGATTCTGCTCGATTATTAGGACCAATCCTCTGCAAGAGGATAAGCAATACGAAGATGTTGTGAGAGACCATGTTCCGTGACTATTTTGTCTGATCACCCCACTTCCATGGGTACATTGTAGAACATAGGACAGCCCGTCCGTGAACGGAGTCTGTGCATCCGGACGGAGGCACTTCGGCGATCAACTCGCGCCACTATGACTCACCGCAACTATGATGGCAGAAGTGGTGGTCAGCCGGTGATGGAGATAGCATCGAGCATCCACGGTCGGGGCGTTTCCGGTGAGTCACACGGTGGCCTCAGGCAGGCGCCGAAGTCGGACAAGGCCGGAATCACCGGATGCGACCGGGAAGTCACCTGCCGACCGTTAGAGTCACATGGAGCTACTAACTGGAAGTAATCTAGCGTGGATCAGATAAGATCAGATCGTGACCTTCCCCTCACGGTGACACCACTTCCTTGCTGGGTGACCGTGTTCCTCCCTTTATCCCTCTGCCATCCCTTATTTCTTTTTCCTTATCTCCTTATCCATCCTCTTATCCCTTCATCGCAGAAGCAAATCCTCTACCTTTCATCTATAGGACAGCCATCCACAACACCACGATGATGGCCCGTCCACTCATCACGACCATCTTCTCCGCACTCGTCCTCCTAACCCACCTCCTCCACGTCAGTGCAAGCCCTCTAGCCGAACAAGCTCCTCTCACCGACAGCGACATCGACACCACCTTCGATACACACTACAACCTCGACACCGACACCGACACCCTCACCCTCACCACCAACACTGCCCCCCCATCCTGGTTCACCTCAACCCTCCTCGCCCGGCGCCTCCTGGCCCTCTCCCGCACCGGCACCGCCTCAACCATCTTCCCCTCCCCCCTCCCCCCAAACTCCCACACGCCCCCCTCCCTAGCCGGCCACTCCACAACCCAAACCGAATACCTCGCCGACTGCGACCCCCACCTCCCCGCCAACGACACCTCCTCCGAATCCCCCAGGGGACTCGGCAACCCGACCTTCCTAGCCCTGCACGTGGCCACCACCTTCCGCAACACCGCCGCAGGGTCCAACATCTCCCTCTCCCTGGACTGGTGGGACCACGTCAACGACACTTCCCCGCTCTGGCCGGGCTTCCCCCTCAGCGAGGCCGGATTACCCCGCGTCACGCTGTTCGGGTACGTCGAGCCGTTTGAGACGCCCGTGCCGGAGGCTGTGGAGGCCGCGCTGCGGAAGTGTTTCCTTGAGAAGCATCCTGATGCGGAGGCGTGGTTGCCGGGCAAGGAAGGTGCCCCGCATAGTAGTTATTGGGCGAGGTTGAGGGTCGAGCAGGTTTATTGGATTGGGGGGTTTGGCGGGTTGCAGAGGATTGGGTGGTTGAATGTTAGTGAGTGGAGGGGTGTTACGGAGTGGGGGAGTGGGGGCGGTGGTGGGGGGTTTGGGGATGGGAGTGGGAGGGGGTGGGGGGATGTGAGGTTGCCGGGGGAGGAGGAGTAAGCTGTTATTAGGTATTTGTGTAGGAAGGGAGGGAGGTGGGTAGGGGTTGTGATGGTGATGGTGATGGGATGAACTACGAGCATGAATTGAAGGTGGTGGCGATGATGTGAACTACGAGAAAGGACAAGGATAAGGACACTATGGATATGATAGCATGAGCTACGAGAGAGGAGCCAAGATGACAATCGGTAACCATATGAGCTACGATGAAGGATAAGCGTGGTACGGAGTTTATGAAGATGACTATTCATTGATATCTTCTATGAGATATGAGATACTGATATTGCAATGGATTTATCTTGATCCTACAAGTACTATAACCACAATGACTTGCATATTATAATGGAGGTTACATCTCGAATCACTCCCCCCAAGACAGAAGCATTCTCCAAAGCAACGAGTGTCTCGGCATCAATCCACGTGGGTATTATACCACCACCATTACGATTTCTTTATCCATGTGTTCTCTTTCCCAAACCCACCAACCCACCCACCCCCTCAGACCTACTGTGACACTGCTATCCATCCATAAACAATCATCCCCTAGAGTCATCTTTTCAGGAAGAGAGCTCAGCTCAAGCAATGTTTGGTGTTCAGCAATGGAATTGTAAGACCACTGTGCCTAGGCAATGCCTATCACAATGGAAAGTACTGATACCGGCATCATGTCAGCATCTGTAGACAGGATACTAACCAATCCAGTGAGATAGATAGATGGATTGGTACAAGCCATCCATTGCTCATAATTACCCAGCGATGAGCTCGATCAGCACTTGTCAAGGGCAGGAGTATTCAGGATATCTTCCGAGCAAGGGATATGCATAGAGATCGCAGCAGTGATCTTAATGGACAGAAGAAGCTCATCCAGGATAGTTCAGCCAGTGTCTGGAAAGGGGCGTTACCAGTATCACCACACCACACCACAGAGTACGCAGTATACCAGCCAGTGATAGTGTTATTACCAGCTTACTGCTCAAATTCATTCAGGCAAAGCCTGAGAAAGGAGCTCGAGGAGTGTTCTCACCGATAGGATTATCCATTGCCGAGAAGTGTGCGAAGGCCTATCGTTGATAACGTTGTGAAAGGCGGAATTGGTCATTTCGTAGTAGATGGTATAGTTGCCGGTTCTTGAAAGAATATATCATTCTCCATGGTCACTTGTCTTTATAAGATGAAGCGAGAAGTGAAAGGCTGATTTTGAGATTGAAGCTTGAAGTTCCAAGGTCCTTGTGACGCATGTTGGTGGTAACAAGTAGCCATCATATATCCATCGATGTTGGAAAGGGACTTGACTGGCAGCACTGCATTGCTGGCTGTATGTAGCGTATCAAGTATATTACCCCAGTGAGGGATTTATATGTAGATAATCTCGACTCGACTTGGAAGAAGGGGAAAAGGAAAGTAAACTCAACCCCAGAAAGCGAACCAGATATCTTGTATGTACGCAGTTTCAGGATCTCTTAACTGGTCGTTACCAACATTTCCCAGTAGATCCATAAGCCAGAGAACGATCCGGGACAGAATAGATATTCTCCTCAGTGTCTGTCTGTTTGGATGAGTTGTTCTAACTTATATCTTGTTTATTGGAATTTAACCTTAGGCAAGAGAGTTGCGTGGTATGGAGGTTGAGAGGAAGCCATTGTAGACATGATTGTTCAAGTTGGTTGTTACTGGCACCGTTACTTGCATCTCCCGGTAGAAAAGCCAGAGTTCCATCAGGGAGTATTGTCGAGGCTTATCTCTCTTTTCCACCTTTGAGTTCCTGACGAGGTGGAATCCTGTTGGAAGAAGCCAATGTCTGGGTTCTTCTAATATTCCAGAGTATCTAACTCCTGAAGCCAGCAGGGAGTAGAGTTGATGTTGTCTTCGTTGTCTTGACGGGTCATTCGTGCCCTTGACCGGTGACTCATATTCAGACAGCCTTGATGATTAGGAGATGACGATTAGGAGACAGAAGAAGAGTTGTCGTTTTAAAACTTTTATGACACGACCGTCAAGCTGAAACACCATGCAGCTGGCCTCATGGATTGTCTCTAAGATTCGTTCGAGATAGAATGATATAGTTCGTTTCAGCCAAGGCAACCTGCATCGTCTGTGGCGCTAGTAGGAATCAGGAACAATACCCGTACCGACACGGTTGCTTTGTATGTTTCTTCTAGTAAGTAGATGACAGTAGTAGATTCAGAACACTTCTGCAGTTTGCGTGACTATATCTTTTTACATCACAGGTCTTTTCTGCATATCAGATGGCTTGGCTGATTCTTCGGACCACGTAAGAAGAATAGCCGGCGATTGACGGAGTCAGGAAGACAGTTTCATAATTCTTGCCCAACCCATCATGGTGTTGGTGTGACTGCCAGTAACGACCCATTTTCCGGGCTGTATGCATAGGAGAAGGACCCTAGTTCGCGTGGGGATGAGATGTCATGATGATTTGGATAAGCTCCTCGTTTTATTCTTATTAGTAGAGTGACATCTTGGAGACAAATCTGTCTCCTACTGTCGACAGAAAATATTTTATTGTCCCTGCAGACGTTGGAAGGATGCGGTAGCAACATCCACCCAGTCACTACTCACTAGCAGCATAGGAAAGTAGTTGCACAGTCCGAAACACTCGGAATCATCTTCCCGCTGAAATAACCAAGTTGGCAGCCTGGTCAGCGATGGAACCTGTTCGATCTGATAATGTGGTAATGCCTGTCGTGCGCCCAAGTGTAAGATGTACCAAGTTGAGATTTGGTTCGAGATGATGGAAGAGAATAACGAAAGCATAAATCGTATGAACCGCTTTTCTTGATTTGTCTTTGTTGGCCTCAGTTGATTTCCGGACTGGAAAAAAAGCATTCGTCACTTCTCCATTCTGCCAGAGACACGGACCAGCCAAGAGCTTTGCCCTCTGGCTTGCCGGTTTTGTTGGCTCTGACCCGAGCCCTTTGGAGAGTAGATGGACTTCAGGACTTCCACTGCGCCGACTTCCAGCTAGTCTCGAAGTAACTGGTCATTCTAGAGGAGGGTTATCAGTGACAGATTCCACTTGCAGCTCTTCTCTCTTTTTCTCTAGAAGCTCAGAGATCCCTGCAAAGTAGCTCTTGGAGACCGAATGTCGTGTTCTTTCGAAGTGCCATGATTTGACCTATGATTCTTTTCCCTCTTTACTATGAATGCTTTCTGTCACGCTGCTGGATGTTTCAATTGTATCAGACTGTTCATGTCCATTTTCAATTTCACTACCGCCTTGGAAAGACCGCTTGCTTGCAGTAGTTGGCATGCTGATATGAGGAGGTTCAGAAGATAAATGCGTGGTTTCAACAGAGACAAGAGAGGCTTTATATGCTCAAGACGAAATAAGATGAGACCTGAGGTGGTATAAGCAGCGCGGTAGTCATCGTTCGACTCGCTATCTGGACATAGCGCATCCCTGTCCCAACTGGTATACACGACCTGCTTCATGCCCCTGTGAGCTAGTTGGGGAAAGAAAGAGAAGTACCGAAAGTGTGCCCATATATCTGCACTAATAAGCGGAGATGGTACTGCGAATAGCGAGGATTGTCACCCGGAGGACATGCAACAGCATTTCGCAGTGCACAGCAATGCCTCCATTTGAGAGAGTCAAGAGACCACATTCAGGATTCAGAGCTGAGGTGTGGATTGCCAGACATGCCTGGGAAATTCAAAAAAAGGCGGAAGTCTGGATCGTCCCACTTTCATCGCTGGAGCATGCGTACCCTCGTACCCGTGGAGGAGCCCATATCTCGTAGTGTTGGAGTATTTCGATCATGGCATATTGGTCGCTGGTAGGACCTAATAGGAGCAAAGCTTGCTACAGTAGACCCTCAGTACCTTTCTTTATATGAAGCAGGGCGTTTTTCTCTTTCCAAGGTTCTGACCGGTGAGATGTCATATTTGATATTGATTTGTTTCTGACAATTCACGTTCATTCTGAACAGAATTGCTCTTGGCATGTTCTATGAGATGAAAGTGTCCTCATCCCAACATCGACAGTGACCGATGCATTTCGTCGTTTATATCTGGATGGAGTATTCAACAACAAGGATGAGCCATTGCTTTGGACTTTGGGTTTAGGCACTATGCTTTTATGCAGCTTCATTTCGTTAGATGTTGCCTTGTCGCTTATGCCTTGGCCGACCACATCATAGGTGGATTGTGGCCTTTGATAGAGACGTTCGAAAGTTTGAAAGCCAATTAGTACTATATAGCTACTCGTAGCAGGAAACCTGACTGCTTTGTGTTGTCGGATTGTTGTTGTGTTCTGGAGTGAACCGCCTTAGGAGTACGCAGCGTAGCCACATACGTAAGCAGGCTTTTCGGTGTTGACGCATTCGAAGTAGCAGAGCATATCGGTACTCTATAGTCGAGTGTGGCAGTTAAGTAGACTCCCATATGTCTTTGGATTGCTTGTTCGTGTGGTGTGTAGTGCAGGCCGCATTTGGAATAGATGTCAGGAGCACGAAGCGTAGCCACGTAGCCACGGGGTTCTTTCTCTGTAATGGCTCATTCCGAAGTAGCAGAGTTATCATTTCTGGATAGATCGTAGCAGGAATTCTGACTTTTGCTTCGATGGATTGCTGTCCTGCTCTGGAGTGGAAGCCGCCCAAGAGCACGCAGCATGCCACGTATCCACGCGGGTCCCTGTAGGTAACTTGATGCCATGAATGTTTAAAGCCGAGTATTATGGTGATGTCTCCTATGCGAGGACACTAAGTTGGCTAAAGCTCTGTCTAACTTTGCCACTTTAATTGACAGATTTCATCAATCCCTGCTTCATCGAGGTGATCCCCCACTTCCCAGCTCCATTTATCCTTGTCAAAAGATTGCGAATATCTTCTCTTCCCCCCTGCTTCACCGATCTGCATGAGTTCTTGAACCTGGCTAAGTCCAATTCCTCGCTTTAGGCCCTGGGATGTTTCTCGGCACAAGCACGAGTCCCACAGTTCTTTCCAGAAAGGGGCGACTAGGTCGGATTTTAGCCATGATTTTCATTCCTCTGTAGTGCCCAGATTCAATGCTTGCTGGAGACCCTTTCGGCCTTTTCCAAGGTTGAGCTTGATGGGCTCATCATCATAACCTCCTTTCACAATCCACGTCTAGTTAAGGGTCAGCTAAGGCCATGATTGGAAAAAGTAACTACACCTACCCAATATTCTTTCCGGCTTTACAAGGCTTGTTGAGCTAACAGACAATATCAGAATATGGGTTGCGGACAGTGTACCATTTGATAAGTCCCGATGAGCATCAAAAGAAGCTGGAGAGTCAAGGTCTATCTCCTGAGATTACCTCATCCTCTTCGGCAGTGAGGGACTTTAACGCTTCTTTTTCCTCAATCCGCTTAGAGTGGCGGCCCCCATCAACTGGGTCACCCGGGCGCTTTTCAGCGGTTGACGCTAAGGAGGGTCCTGTATTAGCCTTTTACAGCAAGCACTTGATAGGGTCATAACTCACCTCTAGTGGTCCCGAAGATGGCGGTTCCCCCAAGGGGCTCGCCAATCTGGCTGGGAGAATGCATTTCAATAAGGATCCCTCTCAGAACCCAGACGGCGCGGTCCATGTCCTCGTCCGAGATGTTCCGCCCATAAACTCCGTCATTAGACTTCATGTTTTCGGTCTGGTGCTTCAATGTGCCTGGCCTCATGGGATATTGGAAAACCGCTTCCTGTTGGGTAAAGCCTGCACCTACTGAGGGTATAGGCATGGTGATATATTCGTGAGGGGAACATATGACTTCAGTGGACTATAGCCGATACCTTGCCTTGTTGCAAGCGAATGTTAGACCGACGGAGAGTGTGCCTTTGAGTTTGGCATCCCGACTAATTACGACGGCCGCTAATGTGTGGTCTTGCTTCCACGAATGCTCTTCGGCTGTCTCCTGTCTCTGTTTTCCATCGAACATCGAAAGCAGACACATGCCGGTTACTCGACATCGTCTATATATCGTTTGGGGTTGCTGTTCTCTTATGGAAAGTGCCGCGCGACCACTGTTTTGAAGGTCCACGATCCCTGTAATTGTCGAGTGTGATTGTTTCTCGATGCCATTTCACAGCAATAAGACATTCTATCAGCAGCCGAAGATACTCACTCATCCAAAGTCGTCAGGATGCCAACATTCTTGGCCCACTCTGCCTTCTCTCGTATCGCTCCCATTATGCTGTTTCCGCTGTTGTATACTGCAAAACAGAGAAATCGCGAATTCCAAGTAGTCCCTGTAGTTCCTCTTTCCAGTTTTGATGTGTATCTCTTTGCCAGAACATTAACAGTTCAATGTGATCTTTCCAGGCATGAATTTTGGCTGGAAGTATGCATGCTAGGCCACATGTAGTCCGCATTCGCCGCGACCGTGGTTAGATTTTCCAGTAACAGCCGACGAGAATGAACAGGCTCCAACAGGCATAAAACATCAGGTCTCTTGCTGATTTCTTTTTTTCTATGAGCCATTGGAATGATTTTGCACATTCATGTCGAGATCCATTGGGCATACGTATAGTCAATCCTATGGCTAGTATATACCGATACCATACATCCACGCCCATGCTGCGTTTTCTTCTGTTCTGAAGACGAGCCTTGAGGAGAGAAAAGACGGCAGCTGCACAAAGATATCTTGGTAATGAGAGCTGCCATGCAGATGCGTTCTGTTGGACTTCCCTGGACGTTTTCTTCCATCTCGAAGGTCAAGTCTCGGCAAGTGAGGGTATCTTATTGCGCCAAGCACCCACAGTAGGCCATTGGAATGACATGGTTACCAAGGTCGATGGATATACCTCTTGCTTCCGGATGTATGTATTCATGAGGCGGATGCATGATATCTGTGGTAACCGTTTGGATAATAGTAACTGCCATCATCTTGTTTGCTTCATGATAATCTTGACATTGTTCGGCGGTCAACCTTTCTTTTTGACAGGTAAGACATCGCTGGATTCTCAATGTGGGTTGGCGCGTTGGACATGTCTTTCAGATCAAGAGTAATGGTGCCCGCCCTAAGACTTGAGAAGTTCCGCACTGTATACGAGGCTCATCTTCCTCTACTACAGTCATGAAGGTTTCTGCGCTCCGGATCAGCCACCAAGTCTGCGAGGAAATGTACTTGTTTGGGAGTAACATGATCAATCTCCAGCGCAGTGGAATGCCAGATCATGCTCGCAGTAATCTGACCAGTTCAGTCTATCACAACTGTATCCTCTTCCGCCAATGGACAATGCAGAGCCAAAACGCGGCCATCCTCAGCGTAGCAGATCTGAAACGTTGAAATATGTCTGTGCATGCAAAGAGACCTAGGCGAAGCGCTGGCCATGGAAGAAGACAGAAGACATAGTGAATTTGCAATAATGACAACCAGGGATGACGAGGCATGGCTGGTTCCAGAGACTCTGACGCTTCGCTCGGAAAGATCTCCATATATTTCTTCGTCAATGAGATGAGAAAAGAGACTTGCTTGTTTCTCAATCCCATCCTCATCTTTGACCTCAGTCCTTCCAGTATGGCCCAGATTGGACCGGTTGACTGGACTCAAGTGGTGTCTAGAGCAACTGGCAAGGCTGAATGTTAGAACCATGATTCAGGTTCATCATTCCGAAGCTGTGAGTAAATATAGAAAGGGAACAGTGGCCGACCATCAGTCCGATCGCTCGTCGAGATCACTCTGCAAAATGAGCGAATGCGTAGCCCAGACGTAGCTTCTCTCTCGACATTATAATGAGCCATATGAACCCAGGCTCTGGCATGGAGGCGAAGGATGGCCAGCCACAGTCATGTCCAAGGCCCAGTACGGGCCAGGCCAAAGTCGCTGGGGCCTCCTTTCTAGGTGTAATTCCAGAAGCTTATGACAATGTGGCGCAGAAGAACTTTTAAAGACATGTTTTTTGGCATGGCAGTCGCTCGTACTCACAAGCAATGTGATCGGACACTGCTTTTGAGAACGACGGAAATTGCCATAAGCCGGTTATTGCCGTGCATATTAGCCCAATATATCGTCAATTGCCGGATTCTGCCTCTTAAATGAACGACTGGCAGCAGGAGCCAAAGAGCCATGTGCTCTCGAGTCGATTGTAGGCAATTTCTGTCTCCTCATTATTCCAATCCAGAATCTGAGCAAGAGCCTAGGATTCGACATGATAGAACTTGTAAGCCCGATGTATGCTGATCACAGCAATGCCTTCTATAGTATCTCCAATTTCGATGGATCAAGCAACAAATATATGTTTAGAAGCCTGCTGAAGAGAAGGTTAGCTTCATAAACAAACAGGGCATGTCATACAAAATCTTACCTTTGTCCTGCATCCTCTTTCGTACGATGACAGGCATCATCACCCAGCAAAGACGGCATGTTTCCAGCATCATTTGGTTTGTTAACCCAACTATCAAGCTTTCATGCTGAGTGTTCTGAAGAGACATCGACACGTCCTGTGCAAAAGCTCGTTCTCTTTATTCGGAACGGTGACCACGCTGCCGAGCAGTGGCCACACCGATGACTTGTAGTACACAAACCCCAGCAGTATATGTTCAGTCTGGGGCTTCTGCGACCATGGGATCCAAAAGCAATTCTTTCTCGCAGACACTGCGCCTTGATTGGAGTCGGATCCCCCCTTATACTCGGGTCAGACAGCCTATTGCCTGCTATCTCCCCTCAAAGCCCGGCCACTGAGCTGTTGAGTCTTTCTAGATGTATCATTTTCTATGAATTTGTGAGCTGCTTCACCAATGCGCCAGCCACAAGACCATAGGGACCCTGTTCCAGATATACCAGATCTTTTGATCCCAGTGTATTGTATCGCGCAAGACCAACAGAAGCGAATGGAGCATGCCAGATACCCACCTCATATACAAAGGACATGAAATAAAAACCCAGTGTCCAGACGCTATTTCAGTGCTCCATGCTTCATACAACGTGTCCTGCGTAGCAGCTTCAGCCACACCATTAAAAGAGTATCGTAGAGAAGAAAATGCTCTTCGGGTCATTCAGTCCGAGGATCAGATGGAAGTTCCGATCATCAGACTTGAAGATTATCTTTGGATATCTCCACTGGCCCTTTTGTCTTGCACTGCTCAGGCACAGCGATGGATTCCTGAGTAATATTTCCTTGTCTAACCTTTCCACAGAACTCATAGAAATTTGCCTAAGCGATGCTGAACGCCCAGACTGACGAAAGGTTTCTTCATGTGAGTACCACGAAGAGAGAGATGAAGACGTCCTTGCAGGCTCCTGCGTACTGGATGTAGTAGACAAGTGCTATGAAGAAGGATGTGGAATGGGGAGTGACATGGTTTATCTCCAGTCTTATATATCACTGTCGAAAGTGTCGAAGCAAGTTACTTGAGAAGGTTCTGTGCTGAGTACGCCAGAGCCCGAAGACAGTATTCAGCTGCGAGGCAGCCGAGCAGTGTGTGGTGTTTCTGACGAAGTTGTTATAGATAAATGGATGTTAGGATGGATGTGACTTCCTGATTGAGTATAAGATGAGAAGTACAGTATATAGGAATGAATATTTTAGGTGTATATAGGAAGCCAGAGGCCTGGATAATGCTCTGGGGAGAATCAGGAAGGGGGAGAAGAGGAGACAGAAGAGGCTTTTTATCTACCATTTGAGAGGTAGTGACAGTGAGGATGTAGTGTGAAGTGTCAACGTGAAGTACGTGTTAGATGTGAAGTACGTGTTGCTTTTGTGAAGTTCGTGTTGATCAGGCAGCGGGATTCACACGTCCTGATGCTACCATATTCATCGCAATCGCTGACTCGTCACTGCTATCCTACTTAGTCGGTCACTATCGCAGCGCCGTGGCGACCAGTAAGCCCTTCACTTTCGTATCAATCCCGTATGGACCGATTCTATCAATCCGAACCCAACTCAAGACTCTCCTAACCAGTGAAGTGCCGCTGCATGAACTGAATCACTAATTAAACCAGTACATTCAACAACATACACAAAGAAGTAAACCACCACCACCACCACTAACCCTAAGACACACGAAAAAACACTCCGGGTATATCCATCCATCCATTCATCAATCACTACCACCGCCACCCCCTACCAACATCCATTACCCAATCCCAAACCAACCCATGAATAACACCAATTACCTCCTCACCCCAGCCGCACCCCCACTCGCACCCGCCCCAACACCCCCATGATGCGCATCATGCACCACACAAAGCAAAAACTTCCTATCCGGCACGACGACAATCTCATGCCTCTTCGTCCTCAACCTCAACAACTTGACCTCATCATCACCCTCTTCCTTCTCCCCAGCACCACCAGCACCAGCACCAGAGCCACTTCCTCCTTCACCAGAAACCCCCCCATCCACCTGTCTAACAACCCCATCCCCATCCCCATCATCCTCCGCCCCAGACAGCGCAAGACTAAGTTCCGACGCACTAGCCACAAACGCAAAGATATGCGCCGCTAGAGCCTCGCCCTGCGACGGCTGATACGGTTGCGTTGTCCCTCCTTCTTTAGACTGTTGTTGTTGATTTGGCTGTCTCGTAGTCGGGGGTTGAGCAGCATCCGTCTCAGCGGGCGCGGGCTCAGTTCCAGCTTCAGTTTCAGTCTGCGGTTCGGTCTCGGCCTCGGTCCCGTCTACAGGTGCGGAGATGGTCTCGGTGCGCGGTGATTGCTGCGCTGCAGCTGCAGCCGCACTCGTTGGAGAAGGAGATGGCGGTTTCGCATACAGCCCGGTACTTTGGATTATGGAGCCGTCTTTGCGGGAGAGGATGAAGGTGGATTGGACGCCGGGGCGGGAGGTGAGGTGCGAGAGGAGAGCGGTTACATGTTGGGGGATTTGGGTCTATTCGGTGATGAGTTAGATTGTTATTGCTGTTGTTATGGGGTTTGTTTGTTGGTTGGTTGGTTGTGAGGGGGGAGGGGGAGGGGAAAGGGCGTACTGTTGACGTTGTTGGTGGTGGTGGTAGGAGTGTCATTGTGTTGCTGCTGTGATGGGTTTTGGCTGAGTGTGTGGTGGGTGTTTTGTGTATTGGTTTGGAGGAGGAATTAATTATCGCATGCTTTCGCGTGGGAGCGTATATCTGGTGTAGAGGCTGGTTGGTATAAATGTTGGTTTGGCTGGAAGTTGGGAGTTGCGCTGGTGGTGGTGATCAACAATTCTCCGGAGTCGCTAGTGCGTGGCCTTAGGTGCTGGTCCGTGGTCTTTGCGCGGCGTCGTTGACTGGAGCACCACTTATTGTGAAACTACTTACTCCGTAGACCCCTTTTGTAGGTCTGCCTATTTTTTATGAAATATCCATTCAGTGCATTACATTTGCAATCTCTAATTGCACGAGCAGGGGCTCTCTTCTAGTACGATGTCGCGAATGTATGACGTAGGAAATAGTAGTATATTCAAGTAAATCAACTAAAAACAAAGTGGTATCGTGCAACAAAACAACATAGGAAAATCTGCAAGTAACAGGGAATGACATCGGAGACAAAATCCGTCCACCAGGGACGCGCATAAATCCTCATCCTAAGATCGGACATTTCAAAGAGCGTGGTAAAAACATCAACAATCGCCATTACACCATTTGACATCAACTTCAGGACATCTGAAAGCTCGAAGGATTCGACCTTTCCGACATCCAATCCATATCAAAATCTTCAATCATATCCTCCAACTCTCTCACATTCTCACTGTCTTCGGTATCATAGCTGCCCCGTCTGCTAGAGACCGGGCTCGCTATCCAGCTGGTTGGACGGTAGGGTGGCTGCCGTCTGCGACTACGTCGACGGTCGTCCACCATCGACTCATCCAAGCTGGAGCTGTTCGTTGACGAAAAAGACCGTCCGGTTGCCGGCGTGTTCGCCGATGTAGATAGAGAGGTAGCAGATCCCCCAAGCAGGCTTTCGACACTGCCCACGTCCAACGCGGCCATAAGCGCGGCCTGGAGGATCTTGTTCTGCCGTTCAAGGTGCGCGATGCGCCCTTCAAGAGCCCTGATCGTGTCGTGGTGGGAGCTTCGTGAGTCCCGAGAATAATAGGAGCTCTGGGTATGGTGCGACTGTGGCGACGCCCGTCCGGAGGCTCGGGTTCGGTGGCTTCCCGGCGACAGGCAGTAGTCGGAAGACCTCCTTGTCGCGCGCATCTTGTGTGAGCGGTGCTCAGTCATGGTGAGGGGTGCTGGTCTCATCCGTCGGCGTCGACTGGAAGTTGGACGGGCTTGATCCTGGCGCGCGCTTGCGCTGGTGCACTCGTCGTCGGATGATGGGATGGGAACGTCGGAGCGGCCCACGGGGTCTTGTTCTTTTCTCGCTCGCTCATGCGAAGAGGTCACGCTTCGAGTGCTACTACTCCGACGAACAGGGGCGTCCCTGGAAGCAGGGGGCATCTGCGGCTCAGAATCTCTCGCCAATACTGCACTACCCGTAAGAGGTGTGCTGCAGTAACGCCTGCCAATAGATTGGCTAATCTGGTGTCTTGACGGCTTCGAGGGCGGAGGGGAGAGTGGCGGTGGGGATGGAGGGTCCGAGGCGACTTTGCGCTGATAGCGCACGTTGCGATTCGCCGACTTTTCAGACTCAGGCCTAGGAGCGTATGCCTCCACACGCTCCTGGGCCATTGCTTCTTCGGGTTCCTTTGCACCCCGCGGGGGCTGGTAATCCTCTTCCTCCTCACGAGGTGTCTCCGACTCCTTAAGATAGAGACGGCTCGCGGACATGTCTCTCATCTTCAATGCATGAACTCGTTCGGCCCGACTCAGCCCCGTCCGTACTAGGGGAAGAGAGTTGGACATAGCCAGTGTGGCCTTGGCCGATTCATCATGCGCATTAGAGGCCTGGTTTCTCTCATCCAGCACTAGTCTCGCAAGAGGCGCAGACCTGCTAGAGGCACTGCGACTGTGAGCACCACTCGCTGCAGTTGATTCTGGAAGAGAAGGCAGGGGTCTCATGGGTGCTGGCAAGGGGAACGCATCGATTGTGCACATTGGCAGGGACGAAGGTCGGCGAGATCCTTTCTTCTGTGAATTCTTTTCATTCGCCAAAGGCTCCTTGTCCGATTTACCAACATCAGCGGAAGACATCGGCTCAGTCACCTCCTGAGTACCGCAGCCTTCTTTGACTGTGGTGCTATCGGTCGGTTGAGAACTTTCTTTATTCGAATCCACGCTACTTTGCTCCGGATCGGGGCTCGCCGGGAGAGGTCTGTTGAGAGCGAGCGAGCGAGTATTGGAGATGCGCCAGGCTCCTTTACTCGAGTTGCGCGGGGGCATTGTGTCTGGGAAAAGCTTCAAAGAAGGAGTGGTCTGGCTTGTCGGTGTTGAAGAGCTACCAGACGAGCTCGTAGCAGGCTTGTTGGCTACCTCTGAGTCGATCACGAGACCTGGCGACTTTGCGTCTTCATCGGACTTGAGACCAGACTGTATAACGTTAGACTTGCATATTCCAGACTCGCAAGGAATTGACTTACCTGGTCATTGTCTGACGCCTTTCCGTCGTTTGGCACATTATCCTCAGACTGTGTGTCGGGTCCTTGCTCTTCACTGCTGACGACTTGAATGCTGGGGTTCGCCGCGTCGCTGGATCCGAGCGACTGTTTCTCCTTGGATCCGGATGTGGTGTCGGCGACAGTAATAGCAACCGCAGGGTCCTGGTTCTCGCTCTGTGCATCTGCTTTGACATCCTTCGCCGGTACGGGTGGCTGGTACGGCGGGGGATTCGCGTCATCGAAGCGCGGGGGAATGGTCACCGCAGCCTCCACCAAAGATGTCAGCTCCCGTAGATCCAGCGCAGACAAATGATTTGTGCTAACCTCCGGTCTGTCCTTCTTTTCGAGTGGATCCGTGAGCCACGGTTGTCCAATGCTTTCTACATCCCGTCTAGAGTTCGCCATGAAACTGAGGTTGGAAATAGAACGGGAGGAAGACCGGCTCGAGTCCAGGCTTTTCTTGTGGGTCGACCGCTTGGAGGGTACGCCAGCAGGAACAGGAACATTCGTCGGCAAGAAGCCTCCTTCCTGAAGGGCAAGCAGTTGCCGCGCTGACTCTTCGGCCTTGGACCTGGGGTCAGTACTCTTTTTCGGGCGTTGAGCGAGTTGTCGAAGCCGTCTCTGGCCGGCCTTGAGCATCTCCCGGGCTCCAGTGGATCCGGTGATGGGGCCTTGCGATTCGATGAATTTGGCGAAATCGGTTGCGTTCTCATCTCGCAGGTCGAGATGTTCGGAGGATTGGAGGGTATCCCGAGACTGCCGAGGTTCGTGTGCCAGGGACGACATGGTGTAGGCGCTTCTGGAGGTGTTCAGGGAACTCGGCCGACCAGTTGGGACAATTGGACTCGGGGCAATTAAGCTGTCATGGGAACCGTTGCTCTGCTGCATGGGACTTGCAGCTGCTCTTCAGCCGCTGGGTATTTATGCAGGTGAACCTCCCGCCACTAGTCTAAACTGAATGTTAATGGCAACCACGGACAGTCAAGAAGTGACCCTGTCCGAGCGGTTGAAAGTGAATCCCGCGGAGGTTAATGGCCGCTTTGCGGAAGACAGTCGAGTATGATCAGATGGATGCTGAGGACATGCAGGTAATGCGGCCAGTCCACTAGCTCAAGAGGCGGGATATAGATAGACGAAAGAGTAAAAGCGGGAATAGCAATAGCAATGATGCAATTGATGAGAGAGGCATGCATGTATGTACAGAAGAGCAGAGTAGTCAAGGTTTGGAATTGCCAACGCCGGAGCGAGCAGCAAGGTATCCGGCAGGAAAAGAAAAAGGCAGGTCGAGGGGAGAGAGGAAACCAGGATTTTATGAAGGGTTCACACGGGAATCTCGAGGAGCTGTCAGACCCTTGCTGTTGGAGTCGGGGGGGGTGTGTGCACAGCACCCTGGTAAGGTCTGACGGGCTAACGATGTCCCCTCCGTATGCGGAGTTGATGCATCGTCAAATGACGAGCCTTCCTCGTTCCCGATAGCTTGAACGATAGAGTTGGATCTAGATAGTGTAACCGGGGCCCAAGACAAGGGTGGCAGGCATTCAAGGGCCCTACAAGAACAGGTGAAAGGGGAGAGGAGGGGGCAAAGCAAGGTTGGTGGAGTCATTATTGGTTGAAACACCAAGGGAGAGGGGGGGTGAAATGGAAGGGAAAAGGGAAGGGAAAGGCAGAGCAGAGAAGCACTGAGCGGCCAGGATAATACTGTGAAGCACAAAAAAAGAATAAAAAAAAGGGAAAAGGGAAAAAAAAAAAAAGTTCAGAATTAAAAAAAGAATAATGATAATAAAGAAGAAGGAAAGGAATAAAATAATAATAAAAATAAAAATAAGAATTATTCGACAAAAAGGAAAATATGACGAGCAGGATCCAAAAAGAACCCAGAAAAAGAAAGAAACGTTAGAGAAGAGCAACGATCGAGTCCGTGCCAGGCGCTCTCGATCGGGGGAAGGAGGCCGATGATGGCGTCGAATGACAAGAAGAAAGAAGGCCAGCGAGCGACTATTTGCTCGGCTGAGCAGCTCCTCCTCCTGTCAAGTCGATGATAGTCAGTCAGTCAATCAAGCGTCTGTCCGCCGCGCGCATTGCAGGGCGCGCGCATCGCGGATTTTCGTCATCCATGCTCCTGGGATCGTCCAGGCTGCACTTCGTTAGCCCGAGTCACTAGCCTCGAGAGGAGCTGCTTTAGTTGCGTTTAGCTACTTTAGCTCGGTAGTTCAGTTGGATAGATACTTGATAGATACTTGAATAGCCAGCCAGTTAGTTTGGGGATTTTCTGTTGGTCCAGCTGCATGGAACCGGGGCTGCATTGAGTCAGGACAAGCTGATCCCTGTCAGACCAACAAATTGAATCGTTCATTCTCTTCTTGGGATTTACTTAGTACGTAGGTAGTAGTGGAGTCACTGGGATTTGCTGTCGGACTGGGCGTGAAGAGGAGAGAGAGCGAGAAAGCAACAGAGAGAGAGCCAATCTAGCGGGCTGTCGGATCGGCATTCAGCTTCCAGTCT